ACCGATTCGTTTGACACCCCTACTCGGTTGTGCCGGTCGGATGTGGCTGACCCGACCCTAAACCCTAGAGTTTTTATCCTTTCTTTCTCCTTTTAAAAATTTGGTTCCATTGGAACTATTTTGCCTAATGCCAATTGGATTCAGTTTGGGCCAGCGGCTAGCCATGGAGAGTAGAGTAGCCCAATTGCAGGCCCATGGACCGATCCGTTTTACAGCTCTAACAAAACTATTCATTTTAGAAAATTTTGAAGAAATGGACCTTACTCGTATTCATAGAAATCCAAAACTAAACTGATGTTGAGTATGATTTGATTTAAACTAATTCAATTAATTGAATCCAAGTGATGTAATCGACAGAACCAAATTTTATAACGACAATCTATTAAGAAAAATAATTTTTTTACAATAAAAATCGAATCTAAATTGAATCGAAAAATCTGATGATATAATTTTTTTCAAAATAAAAAAATTGGAAACGAAAATAATGGAAACTGTAGTGAATCACGGATGTTTATGTGAAATCAACGAAACCCATACGAACAAAATAAAAATATATTTAAATAGTTTCGTCGGTTATTTTAGCAAATTTTTTTATAAAATTCTGCAATGTTTAGTATGAAATTAAAATATTAAGTAAACATATAAACAACTGACACACATAAACATGCACACATACATACACGACAAGAGCGGAGCCGAAGGTTACGTGAGAAGGAGAAAGACAGTTGCATGCATGTTCGTCGCATGGGACTTCACGTACTCGAATCGTTGCGTTGTTATTTCCTTAACTCGCGAATCTTTGTCTGCCTCGTGCCCCTTTCTTTTTCAAATTTTTCAAAAACTTTTATTATGTTTTATATAAATATCTTATACACATAAGTATATGCTTGTCATATATATGTATATATATATATATATAATCAGTCTCTCCCCCTCCCTCGCTGTTCTGGCTCTGCCATTGACTTTTGTTACCTTGGTCTCCGGTCATAACTCAACCGTGGTTTATATTTTATAACCAGTGATCCATTACTTATCTTTCTAATTAAATTTGACTTAGCATTACTTCTTAATTATTCAAGTAATTAACAAGTCCTCTCATTAACTGTTTTTGTTTTTATTATTTTGGCGTTTCATAGGGATCTGTTTGTGGCTCGAGAGTCAACTTTGGAAGTGGGTTGTCACACGAATGTCGGTTTCTTAATTAAGTTCGAAGATTGGGAGGGTTTTTGTAGCTAAGCTTGTCTGTAATCACGACATGTCACATGATTTCAGATCATTTCTTCTTATCTTCTTCTTTAAATTAGTGGGGGAAAAAATCTAGGGTTTACATGCAAAAGATATGGGTTTAATGACAAAAATCATGTAAGATTTGCCACATTCTTTGATATATATCTAATTGGTTGCATATGAAAACTTACATTTATACATAGAAACACGTAAACTCGGATCCAAATATCACAAATCCCTACCAAATCACACTATACGTATACTATAGAAGCCGGTCATCTCTCTCTCTCTCTCTTAATTATATACATTATAACATTGTAAATTAGTAAAATTAACAAGAGGTATATCATTAAAAACCTTTATTTGAGAGGAAAACATTGGATATTCGGAGTGTAATCCAGGTTTTGTTGGTGATGTAAAAAAAAAAAAAAGATATAGCTATATAGTGAGTCGAATATTAAAATTAAAAAAAAAAGGATACTGAAAATGAGTATTTTTTGGTATAAAAAAAAAAACAAGACCAAAATTGAAGTAATATTTTTTATAAAAAAATTAAAATTAATCAAATGGAAGCATTAATGGAATCTCAAATATCGATTAAAAATGACTAGACGGTGGTTTTGAGTGTCAGAAGTACACAAGGCAGAATTGCATGGAGATACGTGTGTATATATATATATATATATATATATATATATAACTGATAGTGGGTTTGAACTTTCAAGTGAAGAAGAATCGACATGAAATATAATATAATATAATATAATATTAATGTGAAATTATGAGAAGCAGAGATGAAACCGGCTTTGAGTTGTCAATGACTTCGTGTCAAATGTATGATCTGACCGTTGTTTCTTCTTCGTGTGTTTATCCACAAATCTTCGCATCACTCCAACTAACTGTCTTCGAGATTTTATCCCTTTTTTATTTTTTTTAATAGTCTATCGAGTTTGAGAAATATCTCGACACCATACATTTTTTCATGTGTTAGATCAAATCTAAGATGGTTTTTATATGAATTAATAATGAATTAAATCATAGTAGAGTTTTAGTTAATAATTTAAAAATATTATCAATCAGGATTTTAATTAAAATTTACAGATATGAGTTTTATATGCATGATTTTTTTTGTGCAACGAAATTGCACGAAACAATTATCCAAAATTTAATTTGATGAGAGAACCCAAAACTATCAAGAGAAGCAAGTGGGAAACATGGGATTCGCCTTCATGTCTATACAACGTTGGATAAGAACTCACTTCACATTCACACGACCAAACCTCCTCCTCATCCTCTATCTCACTACGTTCTCGCTTCCTTGATCCGTCAAAACCGTTAATCGCCTCGCCGTCTTCAAAAATTCACTGACCAAACCGAAAAAAACGTGCCCGAAAACACGATTTAGATGCATATTTTCGTAAAAAATGGATCGAAGAATCGAGTTCGGAGACAGGACTAATCGTGGTGAGGAGAAAGATTGGATCTTGTTTACCTGAAGGGTTCTTTTCCTGCATATTTGATGGCTCCTGATGCATCACAATAGAGAACAGAGCTCAACTTTTCCGGATTCTCGATACCGAACATGTCCGAGAGCTTCCGACACAGTTCTTCGTATGACCCGAGAACCGAGAGATCTAAGGTTCTACCTACGTTGTCGGATTCGATGAACACTTTGCAATGTCCTGTCTCCAATCCTCCTGCATCACTGTCCTTGCGATGATCCTTGGAGCAAGGTGACCTCTCGTCCGAAGACGATATCTCCTTCGTGCCGTTCTGGTTCGACGCGCCTGATGAAATCGGGGTTTTCTCGGGATTCGTATCAGCGGATTCGTTCTCGGGTTTTGGCTCCTCGGGGAGGATGAGCTTGCCAAACAGAACAATGTGAGGCTTTTTGGACTCGGTATCATCCTTGAGAAGACGAGAAGGGCTTCCCATTGTCAAGAAGCACGATCCTTTCTCACCATTGCCGCCGTTCCTCAGCGGGTTTCCGCTGGGAAGCAATCCGAGCGGAGGAACGGAACGATCGAAACCCTGAAAACGGATCGGGAAAAAACCTGGTGGCAGCATGTTCAAGTGGTGGAGATCCGAGGATGATAACTCGTACTGAGCATGCCTGGCTCCCTGTAAACCGACAGGTATATTATCCGGAACACAACCTAACGGACTGCCTGACCCGAGGTGATTGCTTGAGAACGAAGGAATGGGGATCGAGTTGATCAGGTTATAATCCGAGTGTTGAGGAAGCCGCATCTTCTTCCTAGGTGGCGAGTACGAAGAAAACGGGATCGCGGGTATATTGGAAACCAATTCAACTAACCACGGGTTCACCCGCTTCACGTTTTGAAGTAGATCCGGCTCATCCCATGCAACCTGAAACGGTTACAGCTTCAAACCAGCACGGCCCGAGTCAATGGTGTACAAAAAGGAACTCGAAAGAGAGATTACATAACGATACCTGTAACAGCCTCCACGGAGAATTTGGCCAACGGATGGGGTCAGAGACATTAACTGACGAAACAGTGCCCATAAACCAGCTTATACGAGACGAGTCTTCCGTCTCAAAAGCCATTTTAAACCTCATTCCCAAGCACCATGGTATCCGCAATGCAGCTCTAACATCCGATGCCTTCACGCAGAACTCCGAGGTACTTGCCCTCGGATAGTACACGGCTTCAAACGGCCTTCCGCTGATGGCAAGATTTACCGCTTCAAGAACGGATTCAGCCGTCACTTTTCCCTTCCGATCCTCGGGATAACATCTTCTATTCAGATTACCGTTTTCATCAGCTTCCCGTAGAAGAGAAGCATAGCCACAACTTCCGCCGACCGGATTCCAACCCATCGAAAACTCGGATCCGCTACCGATTCCTCCTCTCTTAGCCCTTCTAATCCCTACACAAAGATCCCCGATCTCCGCTCGCATGAAGACGATCGAGTCACCGGCCACGAGCTTCTTCTGGTTCACGAAATTGCTCCACCCCGTCGTCAGAAGATGCCGGCGAGGGGTCCCCCTATATATGTGCCTAAACTTCCAGATAACTGCATGAACATCCTTTGCAAGAATGGTCTGAACCGGTGGCTCAGCGCTGTAGTCCAACCTCGGGAAGATAGTCTCTGCGCAGTAACGAGGAACGGAGAATCCGCCGCCATTGTTGGCATCAGACTGAGTCAATGTCTTGGCGAAGGAAGGCGTTTTCTCGTTGTTACTGTCGAATCCGTTATTACACGCGCCAAAACCGGCATCACCATCGCAATCCTCGTAATCAAGCTCATCGCTTTTCAAGGGTATCAGCCTGATTTTGGCGAAAACCTCGTCGGATTCGGCATCAGCCTTATACTCAATGGCCAAGACTCTGCAAAGAACCATAGCGGGGACTGGCAAATTCCCGAAATCGACGCGCTCGTAAGCATTTTCGGCGTGTCCCTGAGGAAAATAGAAGACCTTGGAGCTCACTGGAGGCATACGAACCATGCCACCAGCACAGGCATGCCATAGCTGAGGATCTAAACATTTTTCCTGGCTTCCTTTCATCGGATCTCTCAACGAATTCATAACATCTATCATGCTTGTCTCCAATTGGGCACCTCCAGATATGAATCAGTGTCTTGTTCAATTGAACTTCTGCCAGTGAAAAGGAGAAGAAATCAAATTCTGAATCGATGTATGCTAGTCAGCCAACTCCAACGCACGAAACAGGATTTTCTCGGTAAAGTGACGGAAAATTTTACAAGGGTCGTTCAGAAACAAGACATCAAACCATCAAATCTGGGGGAAAAAAACAAGAATTTAACGAGAACCCGGAAAAGAAAAAGAATAATCATGAGGGTATCTTACCTTTGAGTCGAAGAGATTCAGGGAAGAACCGAAACCCTCCACCAATCTCTAACTAAAACGACAGCCGAAGAAGGAAAAAAAGAAACAAAGGAATTCTTGGAGGAAAAAAGGCAGAAACTTTATAAGGGACACAGAAGTGAACAGAAGAAGAGATTACTAGAAAACAGGAAGAAAGAAGAAGAAGGCTTTAGATTAGGGATTTTCAGATCGTAGGTAGAGAGAGTCCAACCATTCTAAGCGAACTTCAGGTGATTCTTAAAACTGCAACCTTTTTTTCTGGGAAATCATTTTTTTTTTAATTCCTATTTTATAATTTCCATTTCTCTCGTTTACACATTAAAGAATTATTTTTGCTCTTCTTTCGCGATCTAAAAAAATCTGTGCACACACAAAGCCATACACATGCGTAATAGTCTTAATTAAGGTTACTGTCGCATATTTACTGTCATAAACGGCGCGTGTATTTCACGTTATTACACTAGATATACAAAAATAACTGTCTTTTTCGATTTATTGATGTTTGAAAAATAATTTAGTTTAGTTATTTTTTCGCAAAAAGTTAATTTACTTCAATATATTTTTTGTGTAACAATATTTTAATATATCTTAAGATACTGTTTTATAGATTATTGTTATGCCTACTTTGAAAATAATTTAGAAAAATATTTTAATTGATAAAATAATTGGTTATTTATTTTAGGTTAAATATTTTAATAAAAACAAAATAAATATTCAAAATGATATAGATACGAAATTTTCGTTTATCCTTCTTTTATAAAAGAAGCAGAGTATGACACAAATGTTGATCGATCTATGTTTTTATTAGTGGCTTATGACAACTGTTATAGTTATTTACTATAATTAATATATATACACACACATTATATGATAATTTTATTTCCTACATATAATTGATTGTATAGTAAATATTATAAATTCTGTTAAAAAATAAATATAATTCTTTGCCACTTGTAAATACTAGAAAAGAAAACATTGAATTTTTAGAAAATTTCATAGAAATCATCAAATAATTGATTTTTTCATAAATTAATACAAAATTTTAACATATTAATATAATAACTGTTTTAAATTTTGAAATACAAAAATAAATATTTAAAATCATAACATATTTATATATGAATATAATTAGAGCTCTAAATTATTAGGATGAAATGTTGTGTCTAAACAAAAATATGACCAATTATTTACATATTATGATTATTATTATTATTATTATTATTATCATAGTATCGATATTTTATTTTAAATTAAATTAATGAATTTATATCTTAATGTTCATTTGAAATTGTTGTCGCGCAATCTCTGATTTTTATTTAACCTCATTTCTATTTAAACCTAATTTAGATTTGTATTTAACCTAATCTCTAATGGCTAATGGGTTTTTAACTTTTTACTTTTTTTATATGGTATCCTTTTTCATAAGTTTTTTTTTTCAAGCAATAAAATTAGGAATTTAATATATTTTCTTGATTTTCGTAAGTGATATCGAGAATCTTGATATACATATATATATATATATATATATTTGGTAAAAGGTAATTTAACAATTTGGGAAAGTCAAACCCTAGATTCCGGGCGTAAATATGGACATATGAATGGGGGAGTGAATCACACGCGACGGAGGAGCACGTTGCCTTTTCCCCGAACGAATCTCCTACAAATCTGAATAGAAGCATCTAATTGATTAATAATTTCAATTATTTAAATTAATTTCTTCACTCCGCCATTAATTAACCTTTTATTAAACTAATCCACAACTTGACAATCCCCATATCATAAATATTATTTTATTCATTTGTTATCGAACACGAATCACGAAAAAACATATTATTCATGGAACTCACTTGTTGACCAGACGTTTTTTTTGTTCTTTCACATATTTTTATTTAATTTAGTGTAATTTCAACAGTAGTCGATATTTTAGAAAAATGTTAAGTTTTTCTAAAGATATATTTATTGTAATTTTATACAATTCGATCTAGACTCTTTTAGTATTTAACTTTATAAAATATAATTTTAGAAATATTTTATTTTAGTTATATTTCTAAAATTATATGCCTACAAAGTTTGATCAGATTAATTTATTTTAAAAAATTATAACAAATAACTTGAAATACAATATGATATTATTAAATTTATTTGAATTTATATAATTAAATTAACATATTTCTTATTATTTTTAAATTATATGTTTAAAAAATATCTCGAAATAAAAAGGAAAAAATGTTCAAATTCAAATCCATATTCAATTATATATATATATATATGTATATATATATATATATATCATAATGCCAATCCAATCGGAACTTTCATATCCCAATTTAAATATTTTGAAAATTTTAGATTCTTCTAACATTTATTAAAAGCTATGTAAAAATAAACTGATCTACTTACATTAACCCTAATTTGTTCCCGATATATGTCATACATATTCATATTCTTCGTTAATAAATTACCATGTTAATTGTTTTATATTTTTCCTATAGAGATATACTGTTTATATTTTACATTTTCAAAATGATTCTCATATATCAAATTTCATTATATTATTATGTTATTGATAATGCTATAATACGCTATTTGTTTTTATTAATATTAAAATAATAATAAAATTCTAATAGTTATCTATGAATATGATTTCATTTCATATAAGGGATTTTAATTACATTCAAAATAAAAAATTATTAAATCTAAACATATTATGTACTATATATTCTAAAACTAAATTATTATGTACTATATATTGGTATGAAAGTTGTTGTTAGATTTAATAATTTGTTTTATTTACCTAAAAATCTGAGATTCAGTGTTCAAATTGTTTTTAAAAAAAATCATAAACACGATAGAAGAACTGAAATCAATCCTAACATGATTTTATACTTTTAGTAAAATTTAAATTACTAATTTTATACTATGCTAGAATCATACGATCCAAAATCTAATTTGAAACTCTAGGTGTAAAATATGGAAGAACACCAACTAAAATTTCTCTATCTAATTTTATAAATTTCAATATCATAATAGTCTGCACTATTGATATAGCGAATAAATTGTAATATATACGAACAAAAATGAAAAATAATTTTAAAAGTAAATAATAAGAAAAACTGAGATTTGACCAAAACGTAATAAAAAAATTAAAAAAGGAGTAACGCAATGTCCGAGGACCTAACTCTACGGAAACTAACCATGGTTAACATTTAAACCGGTCATTGGTCAGCTCCACGACTCTCACTGTCAAAATGGTTTATTACGTGTGTCCCCACTATTTCCGGATGCCATTTGACATTTCCGTAATTTCTTCCTTTATCTGATGGTAAATTCGGTATTTCACTTTTTTTTGGGTTGTGGTGGCCCTACGACGTCGTTTGTTTTAGCTATTTTTAGAGAACATATAATTAATTTTGAACCCTTTATTATTTTTTGGGGAAACAAACAATTGTGGGAAATATATATATATATATATATATTTTTGGTATTTTTTGTATATTTTTCATAGGATTAGAAAACCCATATAAATAATTATACCAAGTGGAGAATCGAATTTGAATGAAAAAGGAGTTTTGAATCGTTTGATATTTATAATATATGAATCGTTTGTTATTAATGATAGTTATTAGAAAAATAGATTAATTATTTAAATTCAAACTATACTCCTGTAATCTCATGAAGTAAAATCAGACAAATTTTTAAATCTTAATACCAATACTTTACTTTTTTTATATTATACGTATGTGTATGTATGTATGTATGTATGTATGTATGTATGTATGTATGTATGTATGTATGTATGTATGTATGTATGTATGTATGTATGTATGTATGTATGTATGTATGTATGTATGTATGTATGTATGTATGTATGTATGTATGTATGTATGGGGTGAGTGGATGAGCAGAGACCCTACCAGAATGAAAAGCGACGTTTCAACGAGAGACATATAAAAGACATGAAAATGGATGAGACAGAGGCAGTCTCTCTGTCATCCCTAAACAGACCGTTTCGACAACGACCCCTTCCCCTTTCCCACCACCAATACTTTTATTTTTTCCTTCTCTTTTTATTTCTCCATTATTATTATTATTATTATTATTATTATTATTTTAAATGATCCGAAAAAGGTCTTCTATATTGACAATATGCTATAAAAGGAATTGGATATATATATATATATATGTATATAGTAGGGGAGAAACCTATATAAAATATAAATCATACATTGCCGATACAAAAATGAAATCACCTGTTTATATTGATTGTCGTCATAATTACTTTATATTTGTTAATAGAAATATTTGGAAATGGGCCTGCTGAAAGGCCCACTTATCACAGATTTTAGATTATGAAAGCCCATTAATACATTCAATTGAGATAGGAAATCAAATCACCGTACAATCAACTGCTTACGAATGTCATTAAAGGGCATATATTATTTTTAAATTTTGTGTTTATTTTTTTTAAATTGCTTGAAAAAAAAAAAGGGGAGCTCAGACATGGCTTCCATGTCATCCGATGGTGGTCAGATGAAGGCGACAGACCCAACCGTCGCAGGAGCAGAGTCCTCACAGCATGCACCAGCCGGGAATCGAACCCGGGTCTGTACCGTGGCAGGGTACTATTCTACCACTAGACCACTGGTGCTCTTGTTATTTGCTGAATCATTATAATTTTAATATTGATTTGTTTTTTCCCCCAAACAATAGACACTTTCAATTTCTGAACAAATTTAATCATTGACACAAAATTCCACCTCTTGGACTAAAATGATGAACGAGAAAATGAAAAAAACCTAACTTTTATTTTATACCCAATAGAGGGAGCATTCCTCTCCATATGTACATCACATCATAACCTCAAACCCACCACATACAATCTATTTCACATCTCTCCTTCTCTTGCCTGCTTTATTCTCTTCTCTTCACAGACAAACCCAGAGAACCCTCCAATAGTTTCCACTTCCATTTCCACAAAAAAAGAGTAAAGAGGCAAAACGCTTGTTGATTACATTGGATTTCTCCCCAAAAATTCTGTTCTTTTTACCTCGGTTTTGGCTCTGAGGTGAATGACAACAATGGCTGGATGAGTCTATGGTTCGAGGGACTTCCCAGAAACATGGCCTGAGACCTGCGTAGCATCTCGGCCATCGATGGAGTCTGATAGGCCTGGACCAGGCTTGAAACGTCTATTGAATCTCCTCCTCTTGCTGTCGCTCTTTGCCACGAGTGGGAGCTGAGTCCGGAGAGGATGTAAGCTCTTCCCGATGCCTCGTACACATGCCTGCTCGTCATTCTTTCTTGCATTTCCTTCAGCTCAGCGTCCAGAGCAGCACAGAACCTGTCACGGGATTTTGCTGCGGCCGTCTCTGACAAAACCCTTCTGCAGTTCTCGAGAATGGAAGCAGCTGTCGATAAATCACCTTGCTCTGCTGAAGTTCTTGCTTGTGCCATCGCCTCAGCAGCTAGGAATCTGTTCCTTTGCCTGTCCACTTCAATCGACACGACTTCTGGACCGACCTTTTCAGGTCTCTGAATTTTAAGCACGTGACTTTCAAGTGTCACAATTTCCTTCGTCAAGGGACCCTTATAGACACATCTCAACTTTAGCAACGGTGTCTCACTTCCAGCATTCTCAGCAGGGATGTTGATGGAGACCAAGAAATCTCTCTCTTCATCAGCGTAAAGATCACCAACATCAATAATTCCTGACCGGCCATCATCGAGAACGACGCTAGAGTAACTTCCAGCTTTTATTGAGCCAAGACGAACATCTGGGCACACACCATCGATTTCTAATCGCAGCTCTTGCACTGCAACACTTAAAAGTCCACCGATGCACTGTGCAAGAGCGTCCTGGATAACAGCTTCACTCTCAATGAAAGAGAAGGTTCCCCCAGATATTTCAGAGACAGAATGCATCAGTGATGCATCATGATCTGATCCAAAACCAAAAGAGTGAACTGGAATCTGGAATCTCTTGTTGTCATTGCTATGCATAGACAAGGGGAGCAACAACTTGTAATTTGGCTCAGGCTGGTTCATGGTATAGGTGTCTCGCCCATCAGACAAAAGAATAATGCTGGAAACAGGATTTTTTTCCCTTCTATCTTCCATCACTTTGGTACCTTTTCTAAGACCTTCAGCAATGTTGGTCCCACCGTTCGCAACCAATGAATTAACGGCTTGAAGGGCTTGCTGTCTTCCAGTGTCAGACATACGGGTTAAAGGGAAGAGGCGACGAGCAGTTGAAGAGAAAGCAATAACTGAGAGTCTATCATTGGATCCAAGGTTTTGAATCACAAACCCCATCGCCCGTTTTAGCAGGGCAAGCTTAGTTCCTGCCATACTTCCACTGATGTCTAACACCGTGACTAGGTCAACCGGAGCTCGAGGATATTGAGAAATCTGATTATTTTCAGAGACAGCATGACCGGCAACCGTGGCAGCAGCTTTGAGATGCACTAATACATCAAAGTTCCCACAAGACTGGGCTCGTGGGACAGCTGAGACCTCCGGATGTATTTTGATGTCCATCATTCTTACGGGACGGTTGTTGTCCGAAACATCATTACTGCTAGAGCTCTTTCCAGGAATTACGGGCAGCTGCTCCAACTGTTCATCATCATTGAACATAGATGGCTCAGAAGCCTGTATCTGCGGAGCATGTCCCTGATTCATAACTCGACGAGGGGGATGTAAGCGACGGGCAAGATTAATGGCTGCATCATTATGGGACCGGTCAAACAGAACAGGAAGATCCAACATAGGATGCTGCATAGGTATATCTTTCCACTTTGATCTGCAGACTGGACAGACTTGGTTGCCATGTTTCACATTCGACGCAATGCAGTGAAAATGAAAAGAATGCGAGCATTCTGCTGTAAAAATCGCATGCCCTCCCCCTTCTTTCATCTTAGTCAAGCAAATCGAGCACGTCTGCTGTTAAAAAGATTATAAAAGAAAACATGTCAGACCATAAGTCCATGATCTAAAGAGAAAGCTCATTAGAAAAAATAGCAAAGAAACTCATGACATGATTCCTTTTTAAGACACAGAAGCCCATCCAAGTTCACATATGAGACAAGACAAGAGTGTGATACAGCAGATGTCCTTAGAACTCAAAATCAATACCAAAAATCATAACCAGCAGAAAACTAAAACACCAGAGATGAAATCAAGAACAAAAGATCAGACTGAGTTCCTCTTCTTCCTGAGTTGAGCTCACATGAGACAAGAATCATAGCACCAAGAATAGAAACATATTACACAAACACACAAACACTTTTGGGTTAACAAGATTTAGACGACATGAGAATCTTCAACTTTCTTGACTAACTAAAACGGGACAAAGCTAGGAAGAAATATTCATTACATAAATAGTAAAAATTAGGCTTCGCCGAACCGAAATAAGCAAATTCACATAGCCATATATAGAGAAGGAAACAAAGGGAGCAACAAAGATATGAACATCACGAGACACAAGCCTTCCCTTCAGTAAAACTACAAACACATGACAAAAACACTAAAAAAAATTGTTCCTTTTCATCTTTCTTCCAATTCTTTAGCAACTGAGAGAACATTCATCTACATAGAGATGACAAAGGAACAAACTTTTATAATATATAAAAGCAGAAACAATAATCTGTGTACAAATAGAAAGAAAGAATCAAGAATTTCGTAACCAGCATGAGCAACTATACTAATTGAAAATCAATATAAGACCGTACAAGAAGGGGAAGCAAAGAGCAGGACAGGGCAAACCCATAAATCCACAAGGAAACTCATTTTCTCAGCAACCAAACAGGCCAGAGCTCACGCAATTAAAATAACAGGAACACCCAAAGAAAAGAGATGCAGAGAATCTGGGTGTCGGAGAAACAAACCTTGGAAGATTTGCTGCTATTCCTGGACAGCCTCAGACCGTAAGAAGACGGTGTCGGAGTCATGGGCCAGTTCACCGGAGAGAGCAAAGCAGCATCGGACAATTTCTCAGCGGAATTCAAACAAGAAGATGGTGGTTCCTCTAGCGTTCTTGGGAGATACGTGCAGAGATTCAGACCTAAAGCCTTCTTCATCTTCCTCCACTTGCTCCCCATTTTGAGATGAGTAACCTAGAAAAATTGGAAACCCAGAGACGAACAAACGAAATGCGACGGAAAATAAAAAGAGATCCCAGAAGAAGTGTTGAAGAATCGGAGCTTTAAATCAAAGAGGAGAATGGGGTTTTGATGGAGTTCTTGAAGATTTGAGCATCAGTGGCGTCAGTGGAAGCGTTGGTGGACGCCATGAGAGAGAGAGAGAGCGGCTTTGAGATTTGCGACTATTTTGACCTTTGGTTTTGGGTCTTGTAAAAAGCGACGAAGTTAAAAAAAAAAAAAAAAAAAAAAAAAAAAAAAAAACAAAAAAAAAAAAAAAAAAAAAAAAAAAAAAGCTAATGCTTCTGCTTTATGGCAATATACAATGATGTAATGTAACTTGTCTCTTAGCGTATTATTACTGTTACTATCTTAAATTACATTTTGAACCACTATTTTTTATTTTCATTTAATTTCTCCCCTAAAGTTTTATTTCTGTTAAGTGATCATTTTATTTTATTGCACAATAAAATAGTAAGCATAATAATTTCATAATCTAAATATTTGCGTCTCTCTATGATACGGTGATATCGAAAATTTAAAATAACAAAGTTTAGGCATTATAATATATCTTGGAAAATAGGTGTTTCAAATCCACGTATAAAAATCAGAATATTAATATGTATAATAAAAATAGTATATATATTAAAGTTTTTTTACTATCAACTAAGAAATCGCAAATTATCAATTGCCTTTGACTTCGAAATTTGTCTTTATTTTCTTTTTATATACAGTAAAAAGTTTTGAATCATCTAATGAGCTTTTTAAATAAAATATCACTTTTAAAAAATTTATTCAAGAAAAGCATATAAGTTAAGCATAACCAATTAATTTCCTCTCCATGTCATCCACTCCTTTGTGATGTTAACAAGTCAAATGAAATGCAAAAAATAATATTTTTGATAAAGGTATTAAATGATATTTATTTCCATTGGAATAACGAAAATATTAAATATAAGCCGGACTAAAGATTTAAACGTCTTTATAAATCTAAATGATATTATTTAAATTACACACATATATGTTCAAATGAAATGTGTGTATATATATGTAACTAATAATTTTCAGGATATCAATAAAAAATAAAATTATTGGATAGTAAATTTTGGTGAAATAAGAAAATGTTTCTAACAAAAACGTCTGCATTAATGTAAATTAATTGGAACATTAACTAAATAGTTTTTAAAGCAAAGAATCCGATACAACTCGTTCTCAAACCAATTATTTGGATTTCCTACCATGTGTTAATATCTCACGTTTCCCATCGTGGCACTGCAATAACTATGTATATTTACAAATTTACAAAATTAATAACTATATATGTAATATAGTATCAGTTACAGATTGTTTGTGCAAACATTTTAAAATATCGGAATTTAAACATTGAATATTACAAATATTAAGATTTAAAATTCGATCTCCTATACCCAAATAATTTTGAATACAAAAAATATTTTTCTCATAAAATACAGCTTTTTTTATAAAAAAAACATTATGCTAAATTTTTAATTTTCAATAACTGTTAAAGATATTTATTTATTGTAAAAAATTAAAATTAATGTTACATGTTAAAAAATAAATAATAAAAGCACTAGGTAAAACTTATTAGACACCATGAAATATTTTTTATAAAATAATGTCTGTATAGATGTAATTTTGCCCACATGCAGAACAAAATATGTTTGTGTAGAATTAAATCTATATATATTAATAAAGAAGTTTAAAGGATTGTGGTGAAGACACCTCATTATCTACCTCATTATCTAGGTGGAAATTTTTATTTTTTTATTGATCAATATTTTTTGTTAATTATCACTATAATACAAAAGATAAGTAAATTATTATAGTTAAAGAAGGGATAAATTTCATGTTTCTTATATAAAAATCTATTTTGTTATTAATTTTATATATTAAAATGATAATATTTTTAGAAAACCATGTTAAAATAAAAAAACATTCTTTTATATTAGTGTTATATAAATATAGTAAAATTTATATATATATATATATATATCATTAAAAAATAAATTTGAATTAAAATAATCAAATCCAATAATAAAAATATATAATTGATATTTTAATTAGATATTAAATGAGAAATCTAATTTTTAAGATTTATTTTTTATCTTGATGATTTTATGTTAATAAAAATAATAAAAATATCAATGGATTGTCATAATTTAAAAATACAAATCTCGTCTTTATTATATAAAAAAAAAACGGGTCATTAAAACATTGGGTTGGAGTGGATTAAAAATTTAATTAGACTTTAAAACTCTACATTTAGTGTTGATATTTAATAAAATACAAACATTTTAAAAATAAAACAAAAATCGATGGCCACTAGAACGTCATATTGATGAGTCCACTAATCCTTACATTTATTATTTTTCTAATTAATTCTATTTTCTTGATTTAATTGTAATTAATTTGTACACTAAAACGTTGTATTCTTATCTTATATAACAATATCTTATGCAATTCGGTTAACAAAAAAAAAATTCTCATGCAATTGGCTTCTCATTGTCGGTAGGTGCATTCGACTGGCCTTCGCTAATTCTTCGAAATTTTTACCTTGTATTTTAAATTTTTATTTTTTGTTTTTATACTTTTGTGAGTCATGGTCTCTCATATTTTTTAGACATTGTGTTCTTTTTCTTTCAAGTTTTAAGTACATGAGTCACTTTTGCTTCGTGAGGTTTTGAAGAAGTTTGGACACAACATTGATCTTAAACTATCCAGTGTAAAAGTGTATGTCAAACAATTATTCATTACTCTTAAATATCTGAGGAATAGTGGGGTTCTCCATTGTGATATAAAACCTGACAACATGCTGGTATGTTATATTTTCCTGTGTTTTTTCTTGTGCTTGATGCACACCTTCTAACAACTCATAATTCTTTGATTGCACAGGTGAATGAAGGAAAAAATGTTTACTGCAAAATCTGATAAATATATTATTTGGTTAGATCCATACATGAATATTATTTTGATTAGATTCATACCTTTGATTGGTAATTTTAGCCAGATGCAAAGCATATTATGTGTATGTATGTGTTTATTTATTCATTTAGTTTTGATTAGATGATGCGGTGTGTGGTTCACTTAACTATTATATATGTATGCATGTGTAGTATATGTATATGTATCTACATATATACGGATAGATTTATTTATTTTGGTATTTGTATATTAAATTTATTAATTTAGTATGTTTCATTTTTTATAAATAATAATTAAAATATATATATTAAAATAAAAAAATATGTATATATATGCATACAAGTATATATATATGTACATATGTATACATATATGGATATCTATATATATACATATATGTATATGCATGCATATTTACACAAATCATTTTATGTGAATACCAAAATTGAGTACTTAATTTAGAAATTTTGATTTTCTTATTTCTTATTTATTTTGGTATGTGATTTATTATTTTATTTTTTATTATCCTACGCGGTGTTAATGTAGATGGATATTGAAGGGTTTTCAATTCATATATGATTTTCGTTTGTCAGACATTATTTAAGGGAAAAAAATTTTGCAAACAATTTTTAATTGGAGATGAACACGCCATTTGTAATTTTTAATCATGGATTTATGCAAGCTCCGACAAATTGATATTGACATGGATTGTAGCAGCGCGAGTTTACGTTGGGATATTGTGGGCAAGGCCTATTATGGGTATGTCTCTCTATATATTAATTTAATTATCTTTGCTAGAAAATGATGGAGAAAATAAATAAATAATAATATATCGAAAAAGGTTATAAACATAGCTAGGTTTAGGTATTTCAAAACAATTTTTGATGTTGCGACATTTGTATTTAGCTCTAGAAGAAGGTGTGTATAATCAAATTCATTTGTTTTTGTACTTCAAATTCAGTTGTCTATAATTTTTTGTGTGTGTAATTTACAGATAAAAAACGGGAAAAAAGTTGATGCCACAAATAACAAATAACTTCTAGAGAAGACGGTTAACTGTTCGATTTTTGTAGGACCAAAATAAAGAGGTTCGAATTCCTCAAATTTTGTACCATCTCTATATTTGATTGTGTACATTTCATTCAGTTTTTGGTTTTATCCTTTTCTATCGTTCACTTTGTGTTGCCTGCAAGTTACGAAGAAAGTAAAAGATGAAGAAAGTTAGATTCACCAATAGGACAAGCTTATATGTGATATTTTTCTTAATTTATATTGGCTATTTAAATCTTTATTGGTAAGTGGAATGCATTAACGAAGAAGAGTATGATAAGAAATAAATAATTTTATGTTTCATGATTTTACGTTTCACAATGTTGATTTATTATAAGTTATTATGATTAAATCATAAAAAGTTCTTTATTACATACAAAAAAGAAATGACACTTTATTATAAATACGTTGATTGCTATTCTATAAAAAACAATAACGAACAACTAAGGCGTAGTGGTATTTGGTAGTAACTGGAGATATTAAAGATATGTAAAACATTTAGTAGAAAAAAAATTAAAACAAATGAACATGAACCAAGAAACATTCTTGATAAAAAAAAACTGTAATATAAACTATCCATTAACCCATTATAGAAATGGGATATCTAATAAAAACTATTATATAAAAAACTGAAAAGATTGTTCATTAACCCATTAATAAAAGGTAAAGAATATCCCACTACTATATAAGACCATCTTTTATAATTGAAAAACAATACGAAAAACTAATAATCATTGTATATTACGTGCGGCAACATTTCCGTCATGTGGACATCCGAGGAAAAGCGTAAAGAAAGATAAATAATGTTGAAAGATTGGAACTTTGGGTATGTGGATATTTGTGTATGTTTACGCGTATTTGTATGTGGCTAACATATATATATATATATATGTGTGTGTAACTGTGTATGTATACGTGTATGTGTACGTATAGATGAAGAAGAACACGTGGGTATTTGTGTATGTTTATTTGTATGTAGATGACATTTATATGTATATACATGTGTATGTGTGTGTGTATATACGTATATGTGTACGTATAGATGGGAAGAGCATATGTGTGGAGAGATAGAGGTACATCAATAAACGTGTGCACAGAGGGATAGCAAACGTGGGCGGTTGCCGAGTCGTTCGGATTGAGAAATGTAAGGTGTTTAGAACTAAAAAGAGAAAGGATGATAGCGAGGGACTCAC